TTGGACAACGTCCATCTTGGGCAGCTTCTCGCCCCTCAATCCTGCCTCATCTGCCCTCCAGGGCCGTTCTGCCCGTCCTCCTCGTCCTTCAGGGCCAAGCACTCCACTCATTGCCCCGGCCAAAAGAATCTGATGGACCCGTCCCCACCCGCAGGGGGTGGCTAATAAGGGCGCCAGGGCCACGCTCACTAGAGTCAAGCAGAGGGCCTGATGGCAGTTCTGACTGCACCCAGGCAGCTCCAGACTTCTGAGGTGGGCATGGCATGCACACACACACACACACACACACACACACACCCCTTCACCAGGCTCCCTCCTGGCCTCTCTGATTTCTTCCTCCATTTCCCACCTTCGTTTCCTGGCTCGCCCATGTCTGACCTCAGCCCCAGCCCCCTTCTGCTCTCCTCTCCTTCTGTCCTGTCCACCTCACACCCTTCTTGGCTGTCTCTGAGTTCACTGCCTTTGCCCCTTATCCTTCCTCAAACCCTGTTCTGCCCCAGGCCTCCCCATACCTGACTTCTGAGCTCCCTGAGCTCATCCCTGGGGCACATCCCTTACCTCTTAGGACCTCAGGATAGCAGGGCTGGAAGGGCCCTGGGAGGCCATAGTCTGGGTCCAACAGGAAAGCAAACCCAGAGAGAGAAGGTGACCCGCCCAAGGTCCCACAGATTGTCACCCCCACAGCCAGAACTAGAACTCAGGTTTCCTTGCTTGGCCTCAGCCCCTTTGAACCACAAGCCCCAAGGGGGTAGCCCTGTCTCTGGGACTCATTATGACCTCGATACCCTTTTCCCTTTGGATTGGTCCAGAGTTGGAGAAAGAGAGATGGGACCTGGACAAAATATGATCGAGGGGCAAGCAGAGGGGGCCAAAAGGGCCCAGTCCCCAACTTTGAAGAAGGCTATAGGTCAAATGCTGCCTTGTCTGTGACCAGAGAGGAGCCTGGGTTAGCCAGCTTCAGTCACTTCTGCATCCAGACTGGGCTGCAGGTATGCTTAGTTTTTGCCATCATGGTCCCCCTTTTTCCTTTCCTTCTTTCTTCCCTTGCTCCCTTCTTCCTTTTTTTCTTTCCTTCCTTCCTTCTTCCCTTCCTGGCCCCCTCCATTCTTTCATACCTTTATCCTTCCCTCCATTCCTCTCTAAAGTATTTGAGGACCTTCTCCATGCAAGGCACTAGAGAAAGAGCCATGCCATGGTGGGAATGGAGACATCTCATGGGGTTTAGATCCTCAGAAACCATCTTAGTCCAATTCCCTTGCCCGAAGAGAGGAAATGACTTCTCTAGGGCCACACATTAAAAAGTAGCTGAGCCAGGGTTTGGACCCATGTTCTCTGACCCCACATCCGGGGCTGGTCCTACTTGTCCCTTCCTCAGGGTGCTTACAGGGAGCCCCACCACTTCTCAAAACTGGGGTTTTCAGTCAGACTGTTGAAGGAAAGAGTCCACTCTCCATTATCTGCAGTGGAAATCCCCCGATGCGCTTTAATTTGGGAAGGTACTTGGTAATTACATTTGAAAATGCTCCACATTCTGGGGATTATACTTCCAACCTGATACTGCAGCTGTGGTGCGTCCCAGCTTAAAACCAGGGAGCTGTCCAGCCTCTTTATCCCACCTCTGAGAGCAGACAGTATCACCTGTCAGACAGAGCCCGGGGGCGGGGCGCGGAGCTGCCTCAGAGCAGGGACCCTCTCTGCCCTGGCCTCCCTCCGTGACAGAGAGGAGTAGATTCTAACCACGTGCCCTTCAGAAGGGAGCCCTTCCTCATAACACCTTCCTTTCCCAGTAGCTGCTGGGCTGCAGTCCCAGGTAAGAGGAGAGAGGCATGACAGCAGGTGAGACCAGAGTGTCACAAAGCAGCTGCTCACAAAGGAGCTTGCCCAGCAGTGGAAGGGATAATGTCACAAAGAGGTAGGAAGTCAGGTTGGCCTCCCAGAGCCTGGTTAAATGGGGAGCCAAGAGATTCCTGGCCCGGCTCAGCGGATAAGCCCTGCAGGGCAAGCAGACAGACAGACCTGGAAGAGGCTAAGCAAGCCTAGGCCCCAGACTTGGACCAATTCCTGGCTTCACCCCATGCACAGGGTCACCCTTCAATGTGTGTGCGTGTCTGGACCTATCAGCCCTCGATCACGTTAGCCACACAAGCAATGAGGAGATTCAGTCTCCAAATGCCGGGGAAGCTGAAGGGAGCCCACGGGCCTGCTGGTCACCCCCCATGCCTGAACAAGAGTCCACCCATGTTCTGCCCAACAAATGGATGCCCATTCTCTGCCAGAGGCCCTCCCATGAGCCCACCTGAGGCAGCCCAGTTCATCTGGGCACAGCTCACTCCCACTGTTAGGATGTCGGTCCCTACATTCAACCAAAATCTGCTTCTCTGTCATTCCCTCCCCCACCCCACCTCGCCCCACCCTCTTGGGCGACATGCCAGTCCTTCAGATATCTAGCCACCACGACTCACCCTTAGCTTTCTCTTCTCCAGGTGAAACACTCCCAGCTCCCTTCCCTGAGTCTTATGGCACAGACTCAGAGTCCTTCCCCACCCTCATCTCCCTCCTCTGGATGGTCTTCAGCTCATCAATGCCCTTCCTAGAAAGACCCCAAGAGCTGGACCCAGCTGTCCAGCTGTGGCCTGCCCAGGGCAGAGGAATTGTCCCTGCCCTTCCTGGACATGCATCAGCCTAAGCTCCCATAGGTTTTTGAGCTGCCATGTTGTTTTTTTGGCTGCTCTATTGCCCTGCTGTTGATTCTGTTGGACTGGACAGTCCCTGAAACCCCCACACCTTTTTTTTATCAGAACTGTTGCCTCACTACCTCCATCCTGAACTGGTGGAGCTCACTTTTTTTTTTTTATTTTTAGGCAATTGGGGTTAAGTGACTTGCCTGGGGTCACACAGCTAGTAAGTGTCAAGTGTTTGGTCTGAGGCCGGATTTGAGCTCAGGTCCTCCTGACTTCAGGGCCGGCAAACTGTGCCACTCAGCTGCCCCTGGAGCTGACTTTTTAAGCCCAAGTGTAGGATTTTTTTTTCCCATTAAATTAAGCCTATTGGTCTCTGCCTTAGCCAAAGGTCCTCCCCCAGAGGGCCCCAATTTACTCATCTGTTAAATGGAAATAACAATAAAATGAAAGAATTCATGTAAGGGCACTTTGGAAAACATGGCACAAAGTGCAGGTGTGGTGCATAGAATGTCAAAGCTAGAAGGGGCTTCTGAGATACTCTTATCCAAGCCTCTCCTTTTACAGATGGGGAAACCAAGGCCTGGTGAGAGGATGTGGTAGCCCAGTGGTTACAGAACTAGGTCCAGCCTAGAGTGAGGTCTCCTGACTTCTCATGCCCCACAGGGTTTTCCCCACCACAGCCCAAGAGAGGAGCTCACATCATGGGCTGAGTGGTTAACACCATCATCCCAAAGACAGTATAGAGTACTGAGGATTCCTGCCTTGCCAGATGGAAAGAGCCTGGGGTCTTTTGGGGTGAGGGGATTTTCTCTGGTTCTAGCCCTCACCCCTCAGAGCCTCATGGGGCCCATGTGATAAACAAGCCACTATATCAAATGTCTGCTTGCCCTTCAAGGCCCAGAGGTAAAGCTGGCCAGGAATATCTGCTCAGCCCAGGCCCTCAGCTTCTGTTACTGCTCTCATAATGAAGAGGCAGATCCAGTCAGAGCCCTCCCTCGGTCTCTTTATCCATCCTTCCATCTTCTTTCCCTTCAGTCCTCTGTCCCTCCAGCAGCTCAAGGGCAGGGACTTTGCCTTCTTTATACTGGCTTCTCCCCTACTGTAGAACACACCACATTGCACTAGTAGGGGTTTAATACATTAGTCAATACAGATGAATCCACCAGTTCAGACCGACTGAGCAGGAGGGGTCACTGAGGCAGGGAGGCCTGGATTCAGGTGGGGATGGTGGGGAACGAGAAGGAGAAAGTGAATGAGAGACCCAGTGCCTGGCACACAGTAGGCACTTAATAAGTGTTTATTGATGGATTGTTGATTGTGATACATCTTAGGGCTAGAATCCATGGGACTCAGGGATATGGGGCATGAAGGAAAGAGAAGCCTGAGGGCAGAGGGCAGGAAGGGGGCCTGGGTGACTGGTGAGAGGCAGGAGGAGGGCCAAGCCGAGACAGGAAGGTAAGTAGTCACCTGTGGAGCTAGAGGGGCCTCTGAGATGGCCACAAGCAGCTACATGAGACCGGCTCTTACCTCCACATATCGATTCTCTGTGCCTTCTCCCAAAAGGGCCACTGAAGTATATCCAGCCTTTTTAGCACTTTGGTAGAGGCAGGGACCATGAAATCCAGCCAACACGCACAGGGAGAGGCTTGCTGGGCCAGGTCCCAGAGCTCACCTTCTCTGCGCATGCATCTGGCCAGAGAGGGCTTTTCTCTGGTTTAGATCTTCTCTTATAATCTCTCTCTTTCTCTGGTTTATATCACATGTAATCTTCTATCTTCCAGTTTACCTCTTATCCTGGTGCTTTGGGGCCCCACAATGGCCATGAAGCTGACTTGCTCTCTGCAAGAGAGCATCCTGCCACGGTCAGGGATACAGGCTATTCTGAGGTTATTATGTGGCTTTCTACATGCCGATTTGGGGAAACACTAAAAGTACAATAAAGACCCATATAGTTCAAGGCTCCTGTAGCAAATCAGAGATTGCTTGGATCCAAAAGGCATCTCCAAGTCTTTCGGGGCCTCCGAGGCGGCTGTCGGGAGCACAAATCCCAGCTCTCCAGACCTAGAGATGGAGAAGGGGTGGGGGTGGGGGGAATGGGGGGGCGGGGTTGTGCTCCAAGCTGGGAGGAGCTTTTTGGAGCCCACCCCTAAGAGCAGCTCGAAGCCTTGCCCTTTCTCTTTCTCCCACCATGGGGAGCCCAAGCTCTTTCTGGCCATGTGAGGGTTCTGGGGGCTTGGATTCAGGAAGCGCAGAAATGTCTTGGCTTCCTCGGCTTTGCCCACACTTGGGATGAACCGCTGTGTTGTTGCTTCCTTTCAGAGAACCCCCACAGCTCACGCCATGAAGGAAGAGAACTTCCTCCGGCGCAGGTTTTCCCTCTGTCCACCTTCCTCCACTCCTCAGAAAATTGACCCTCGGAAACTGACCAGGAACCTCTTCTTCAGCGGAGACCATGAGATCTACCCTCTCAGCCCAGGTCAGTCCTAGCCGGGAAGGCAAGCACAGCATCATCCCTGGGGAGAACAGGAAGATGCAGCCACATGACCGGCCGGGTGAGGGGGGAGGACGAAGGGCCAGAGACCTCCAGTTGTGATGCCAGTCCACGCACGTCCATGGACAAAGGCATGGAGGTTCACAAACCTCACAGAGATGAAAGTGTTGCCCGCCATCAAGTCTTCCCCCCTCATTTTACTGATTAGGGGACCTGAGACACAGATAGGAGGAAGTGATTTGCCCAAGGTCACACAGTTTATATCTTCTCTGAACTGGAATTCAAACTTAGGCCTCCCTAATTCTGTGGAGCCCCAGCCACTGGGGCAGCTTCCTTCCCTCCTTTTGTCATCCCCTCCACATGTTCACACATGTGTACGCATGTGCGTGAGCCTGTGCACACACACGGACACACACACACACCTCCCCTCTGCCTTTAAATGATGCACTGAGTCAGACCAAGCTGTAAATGAGGAAGTGAAAGCCAAGAGTAATGCCCTGCTGCCCACGTCCCCCATCGCTGACGCCCGAGAGCAACGGTGTGGGTCAGCAGAGAAGACCCCAGGTGCAGAGTCAGGGGGACTTGGATTCAAATCCTGCCTCCCATGCTTCATAGCTGTCGGCAGATCCCCAACCTCCTGGAGCCTCAGTTTCCTGCTCTTCACATAGGGCTAACAAAGCTGGCTCTTGGAACATAGATGAAGGGCAGCAGCAGCAATGACGGGATGAGAATCAGAGGGGCTCAAGGCCAGAGGCAATGCCGCTCCCGGCTCCACCCCCAGTGCCCAAACCTGCCTCTAAACACTGCCCCCGCCCATGGGCAGTATGGGTGCCTGCCTGGCAAAGGGGGGGTGGGGGGAGGTCTGTCCAGGAGATGCGGTGGGGGGGAGGCCTCCTCTCTCGGAGGCACCAGCTCCGCCACCAGCTCCGTCACTTCCTCCTGCTCTGTTGCAGGCAAAGACGTGGAAGGCGGCAACGGCGTGTCCCTGTTGAAGGATGAAGTGCCTCAGACCCCTGTGTCCATGACCAGAGCCCTGCAGGTAAGCCACCTGCTCTGCAGAGACACCCCTAGCCTGCGGCCACAGTTCACCCAAGACTGGCCAACGTGGGCAGAAGGAGCAGTGGATGGGGGAGGAGGATCACAGCCAGCCAGGGTTGGCCTGGCTTAGTAAGGACAGGGCTGCAGGGAAGGGGAGACGGAACCTTCAGACTTTCTTGGTCTGGAGAGAATGGCAGGCAGCCTTCGGGGGGCAGGGGGGAGGGCTGAGACAAGCTTGTCCCCTGCCACCTAACTAGACTCCACCACTTGCCCAAAGAGGTGAGGTAGGAGGTAGAACGGAAGCCGGACCTGGGAGCCGAGACACCTGGATTCTGGCCCTCACCTTTTCACAGCTTTCCCAGGTAGTCTGAGCAAGTCAGGGGATGACGCTCCTGGCCCCGCCTGGCTCACGGGGCTTCCAAGAAGTGCCTCTGAGCTCTGGTGCTGTGAAGCATTTTGAGAACTTCCTTCCCCTGGGCCCCAGGTCTCTGATGCACCTGCCAACTCTAGACAGAGAATCCAGGGGCCCTGGAACCCAGCAATTCAACATAGCTCGTGACTCGTCTTCTCCTGAGTCAGCACTGCCTCTAGCTCCTTAGCGACTGTCTTTAGGTGAGGTAGGGGACAACGCACAGAATATCAGAGCTGGGAGGGGCCTTGGGCAAAACTCTAGACTAGAGAATGTCAGAGCAGAGACAGCCTGCCTTTAGAGCCTGGAACACGAACTGTCCGATCTGGAAGGGACCTTAGAACATGGAATGTCAGAGGTGGGAGGGACCTTAGGACGCAGAACATAGAATTCGGGTCACAACTAGGAGGGACCAGAGAACATGGAACATCAGAACTGGGAGGGGCCGTAAAACCTGGAAAGCCAGGGCTGGACATGACCTTAAAATATGGAACAGGGAATGGGAGAGCTGGGAGGGGCCACCTCATGTGGCCTGAGGCACCCCTCCGAGGACAGGACGTGAGAGGCAAAGCTCCCACCTTCCCCATCAGCAAGTCTGGGGAGAGGGGATGGTTTTGTTGAGTGCAAGCTCTGGGTTCAGACAGGACGTTCAGTCCCGTTCTGAGCTGGCCCCCACTGCAGGAGGAATCAGGAGCTGTCCTCCCTCCATCCATGCCCTCCAGGCCCTGCTGCCCAGACACTGAGGAGGACTTTCCCTCCCGACTGCCCCTTCGGGCAGGCCACGGTTCGGCCCTGAAGCTGAGGCTGGACAGCTTCTGCAGCAGCCAGCTGAGGCCATGGGGGGCCCCTGCCTCTCCCGCAGACCTGCATCTTCTCCTCCTCTCTGTCCCTACCCACCTGAGCCGGGGTTCACCGACACACGGCCTGCCCGGTGTCGGGCTGTGTCTCGGGAGCCTGGCATCGCTAGTCATGATTTTCAGCATCTGTTTGCTTGTCTCCAGCCTCCTCCAGAGCTGGGAGCTTCAGCCCACAGCCTGGCACTGGGTCACCCCCGATGCTGCTCCTGTGTCTATGTCATGAGTGTGTCATGGCCAGCCAGCTGAGAGCTCCCAGGTGTCTTGGGGCCTGTGGCCTCCCTCCTCCCTCCTCCTTCCCCCACAGCACCTGGCCCAAGGACCAGTGGGTGATGAATAAGTGTCCCCAGATGGAGCTGCTGTGTGTGTGTGTGTGTGTGTGTGTGTGTGAGCGCACATGAAGTGGGACAGGAAATCCTGATCCCTGGGTTGGATCCTCCACAGATGGGACGCAAAGAGGGCTCTGTTGCAGAGACTGATTGGGACAGAGCTGGCATGATGTGGCGGCCAGAGAAAGCGAAGAAGAGAGTGGGGGCAGGGAGGGGAAGGCAGAGGGGCTGTGGGAGGGGCAGGAGACGAGCTGCCTGCTCCATGGAGTCCTTTGGTATAAAAGGATAGCAGGAACTTGCTAACGGTCAAGTAGCACGGCTGTGCTGCTATGTATAGTGAGCTCCCTGTCATGGGGAGCACTCAAGCAGAGGCCGAATAATCAGGCATCCTCTAAAGGAAATTCCTCCCCTGGGTAAGGAGTGGCCCCTTCTAGCCCTGAGGTGCTGTGATTCTTCAGGCACTCTCTGCCCAGGGAATGTTGAATCCCATGGGAGAACAAGCACTGAGCCCAGCATGAGAAACGCATTCTGTGCCCTGTTCCCGTCCTCTGAGAAATCCTGGCCACCGCCAAGAAGCGGTGTTGGAGCCAGGGACAAAGGCTGCGTGGGCAGCTGTGAGGATGAGGGCAGCTCATGGGACCGAGCGTGTCCGCGCCCATCCCACGGCAGAGGCCGCCTCCTCCGACGGAGGGCCCCGGAACCCCAGACCCACGAGAAAGCCCGGCGAGCCCTCGGGCCAAGAGAGGCAGCGGCCATGCCGCGGCTGACCTCTCTCTGTGTCCCCCCTTTTTACACAGAATAACGACTACAGGCTTTGCAATGGATCCGATAGAGAGTCTTTGTCGCCCACGGCCAAAGTCACCAAGAAAGAGACACTCAAGGTGAGGGAGGCCTTGCGGCTTTGTGGGGGAG